ATTGCAAAAAAATCACTTATATTATTTCAAAATACAGACAATGCACATGACCGTCTTCCACCTATTAGAGGAACTGGGCACATTAGAATAATGGGGCCCCTATGAGCATAATAAAGTACTATTTTGTTAGAATAGACAAATAACATAGAAATGCAAAGTTTCAGCATTCTTTTTATTTCTTTACAGTTACATCAGATATGATGAATAGATTATATCATGTAATCCACATTAAGTAACTAGCATCCACGATTAGTCCTTATACTCCTTATATAAGTATCTATGCTGATTGAAGAGGTACCCTTCTGGATTTGAGTAGAGCAAAATCGTTAATAACATCTTCAAAATCTATGTTTTCGAGCATATCACATTCTATCGACATTGTACTTCTTAATTCACTTTTTATTCGTTTTAATTTGAATGAGGCACGTTCCCCACTGCAGTTAGTTACCATCATGCTTAGAAAGATTCTCAGTGTGCTTTCTACATTAGGAAAGGTGTCTTCAATTTTGCTCTCTTTCAAAAGATGATATATTTCCAGTATACTATTAGTTTTTCATTTTTACTCTGATCAATTTTCAAATATTCTGTTAAATGCAGATTCTACTCTTTCTCATTAACGTCTTCATAGTAGATTTCAGCAAATTCTTTGCAACTTTTTCTCAACTCTTCGAAATTCAGAGCGTTCAAGCGAAAAAATTAAGCAAACTTATTTTTATATATTTTTTCCCATTTTTTCAAGTAAATTATTATTGCGAAAAGGCAATTGAAATGAAAAATTATATTAAAATTCATTAAACATGCTGCATTCTGTAAGCCTGATTTTCAGGCGAGAGTAAAGGAGCTATCGGGACTGGGGGGCCCCAATCCTCGCGGGAGCCTGGGCACGTGCCCAGTGTGCCCAGTGGGGAAGAAGGGCCTGAAAATATAGTGTCTGTAGGTTGATCGAGGAGGTGGTACATTCAATACAAATTGTCACTGATAAGCTGTTGAATTTTTCTTTTAGGCTCTCTGATCGGAAAATTCTTTAAACGCAGTCACATTTTGGGGCAAATCATCTGATTTGTCCTGACTAGACGTATACTGAAATAGTATTCATATTTTTGTTTCATAGAGACGAGGAGAGAAAATCCCAAAAAATCTGGAATAATGAACAAAAAATATAGCTGGATATGAGGAAGCCATTTTTCGAAAATGTAAAAATTATAATAGACTGATGAATAACCTGTTAATCAGGGAATCTCTGAATTATTTTGGTAAATTGAACAATTGAGTCAGTATCTCTTGCTTCCAACAAACTTTGGGAACATCTATCTGCTCGGGGTAACTTGCTTTTTCTATTGTTCCTTTATTTTCAGATCATTTATACATATAGGTATCAATTGTAACAAACTTAGAACAGGTAACTGAATTATTAATAATACAATAATGTGATGCAGTTGTTGTCAGTCTTGAAGAAACCTAATTTTCAATTTGAAGGCATTTGACCTTGAATCCCAACTAGATTTCTGGCTGCGGTGCATCTTTACCGCACACAATTTTCGTCTGATCCCTCTAGTATACATTGAAATGGAGTTGATGTCACTCTGGAATAAATCCAATTTTCAGTTGAACGCATATCACATTGAACTTGAAGGAAATTTCGCCTGCAGTGCTTTCAATAACCAAGCAGTTTGTCCGGGTTCCTTTTCCCGCTTGGTATTCAGTGAAATGGCGCACCTGAAATTGCCCTTTGTCTCCATCAAGAAGGGGGCGCTGAACAAAGTTGCGCCTCATTCTGCGAAACGTCTCAATCCGCCACTGATGCCTCATTACTTACCCTGTATACACCTACCTTATACCTTGCATGTGCGTCATTACAAATTTACGATGTTTTGAGAATCAGGATTATGCAGTGAGCAGGTTTATGTACCGCACTTTCCCAGTTATCAACGCATCAACTCTCCTATCGACATAAATACTTACTAATGAGGGGAAGTACAGAATTGAGAATACGCATGCTGTTACTTGTTAGTCGGGTCAAACCAGGGTTGCCATCTCAGCGATTTTGTCGCTAAATCTAGAGTTGTTAGGGTAGGTCAGTGCGACATTTTAACTTGATTTGCTACGTATCGGAATGGGTTTTAATGGGGATATTTTGTTCACATGAATTTATGACGACGAATATAATTACACATTGTAATATTTCTGCCGCTTCTGCCACTTTTGAATAAATATGTATGTAAAAATGCATATTATTCGATATGGTTTATAGAATTGTAAAAGCTTGTTGTAAAACTTCTATTTCACCTAAATCATTATTCCAACTTATATAGGAATAGTCTCAGATCTGTCTGTATGATATGTTGAACAGCTGGAAATATGAGTTGTTGTCATGATTTGACAGGTTCATATGTGTGATTTTACCAAAGAAATACTCCAAATACGTCCGAGAAATATATTCTGTGATTCATCCATCTCTTATCTATAGTACCGAAGGCAATGTTATAATTTTTTTTTTATTTTTTATATACATTTTGAATAAAAGAGGTCTCTACATTTTTTTATCTGATGTTATGAACTGCCTAAAAATGAGGAAAAATGATCAAGAAAGTCGCTGAATCACGGAAAAAAGTCGCTAAATTTTCGAAAATAAACATTGAATTCATATTAAATTATTCTTGCTTGATTATTTGAGATTTTCTCTGAGATACTTTCTGAGCAACAACACACTGTGCTATATGCTGCTTTCATACACAAAAAAATAAGATTTTTTTCACCAACAAAATTATTTTTGTCAATTATTTATTTTCTGATTGAAAAAATGTATGCGAAATCAACAAAATGATATATTCATTTCGAATAATTGACTAATTGAGAAAGACAAAATATTCTGATTGAAATATTTGTTTACTTGAACAAAGCTTTACTTTATTCAACAATATATAGTTGACATAAAAAAAAAATTGTTGATTCAACTGTCATTTCATTGTTCAATCAATCAATCATATGCATCGTATCTATTTGACAAAATTAGATTAGTTTTGACAAATATTCAACAAACATTTGAAATTAAAAATCGACCTATTTGAGACCCAAAAAAGAGTTACGACCATAACTTTAATTTTTTCAAACAATTTTTTTTGTCCAATTTCGATGATGCGATACATGACACATACTCAGAATTTTACGCCGAATTCAAAAATTGAATGAATAATGAGTATTTCCATAGAAAAAAATTAAGTTGATCATCGTAACTTATTTTTGAGCCACCCTGTATACATGAATCTACTACCATACAAACCGCAGGAAAAAATAAAAATCGACGTGTCCGAGCGTTTTCCCAAGAAACACAGTCCTGACTTTTAAATGAATTTGTTCCATAATATTGCCGCTCACTGTATATGTGATATACAGTGTGTCCCACTTACCATGCTCACCATGGGTATCTTTTCAACAATGAGAGATACGAGGTCGGTTAAATGACACCAAATGTGGAGTTTGTCAAGGCCAACTATAATGTGAAAAAATATATTGATAAAATCTATTCCTTTTTGTTTTTTACGCAAAAAACAGATTTCGATCATTTTCATGTCTCCTCCGTAACTTCTTTATTCATGAAGATATTCAAATAGGAAATTCACATTCTCATGACAGTTTTTCAAAGTGATTTCGAAAAAAATATGAAATTTATACCAACTCTTCTAGAATTTGAGATATTAGCACCAACTTTAGTTTTTCAAATGTAGGTCATAGCTCACTATGACTTAGTCACAATTAACTTTTTTTTCTCTCACAGATGATATGTCGCAGTAAAAGTTTTATGTTGATAACAACGGAGTTATCGTCATTTATACAAAAACAAAAAATTATTTGGAATCCGCCATCTTGAATTTATAAATTTTAACAAAAAAATCATGATCTTCGACCTCAAAAACCCCCACTCACCAATTTTGAATGGAATCGGACCAAATCTTGTCCGCCATCTTGGAGCAGCCATTTTTTTTTATTTCAACGAAAATTCCATACCTCCGATTAACTTGAAATCTGGCAGGTGTTCATAATTTCGGTGACAATACATTATGGAATTTTTGTTGAAATTAAAAAGATGGCTGCTCCAAGATGGCGGACAAGATTTGGTCCGATTCCATTCAAAATTGGTGAGTAGGGGTTTTTGAGGTCGGAGATCATGATTTTCTTGTTGAAATTCATAAATTCGAGATGGCGGATTCAAAATAATTTTTTGTTTTTGTATAAATGACGATAACTCCGTTGTTATCAACACAAAACTATTACTGCGACTTATCATCTGTAAGATTTATTTGTAACTAAGTCATAGTGAGCTATGACCTACATTCGAAAAATTAAAGTTGGTGCTGATATCTCAAATTCTAGAAGAGTTGGTATATATATTTCATATTTTTTTCGAAATCACTTTGGAAAACTGCCATGAGAATGTGAAATTCCTATTTGAATATTTTCATAAATGAAGAAGTTACGGAGGAGACATGAAAATGATCAAAATCTGTTTTTTGCGTATAAAACAAAAACGAATAGATTTTATCGAAATAATTTTTCACATTAAAGTTGGCCTTGACAAACTCCACATTTGGTGTCATTTAACCGACCTCGTATCTCTCACCGTTAAAAAGATACCCATGGTGAGCATGGTAAGTGGGAAACACTGTATATCCGGGAAAAAAGTAATCACTTCTTTCCAACGTGAAAAAAGTAATTTATGAAACGTGAAATTTTATAACCTGCCAACAGAGATAAAATGCCAAACTTTTTTCCCGTCACAGAAAAAACTACATTTATTCTTCAACTTTTTTTCTTCAATTATTCGACGATGCCTGGCCTATGTGCTGTGCTTTTCTTCGCGAACCCAATCACGCGCCGCACACATGCCCACCTCTCTTCCGACGGCGTGGGAAATTCAACACCATATAACCACCTGCCGCGACGCCCGACCACGTGACCGTAGCGCGATCACCTTAAAACCACGACCCACACCGGCCCACCTCATTTTCGATTCAGTCGTGTAACCCCAACACCCGACCTTGCACGAGGAATCGAAATGCCTGCCACCGAGTACATCGTCGACGAACCAGCCACCTACAGCGACGCTGTTGCCTCCAGCTCCGACGAAGAGCTGGGCAGCTACGTCCAAAACGTCGGCGTTCACGCCAAGAAGCCCCAGTTCGCGCCCAAGAAGACAGCCAGCTTCGAGAGCACGCCCAACAAGCGGGAGCACGAGGAGTTCTTCCGCGCTGCGGTGGAACTGCTGCTGAAGCACGCTGTGTTCGAGGGCACGGACAGAAAGAACAGCGTCCTCAGGTACGAGAACCCAGAGGAGCTGCAGCAGCTCTTCAACTTCAGCGTGGGATCTGCGCCCAGCACGCACGATGACCTGCTGGACCTCCTCAAAGACACCATCAAGTACTCCGTGAAGACCGGCCATCCTTACTTCGTCAATCAGCTCTTCTCGGCCATAGATCCCTATGGATTGGTGGGGCAATGGTTAACTGACGCTTTGAATCCCAGCGTTTATACTTACGAGGTGTCCCCCGTGTTTAGCCTCATGGAGGAGGTTGTGCTGAGGGAGATGAGGAGCATCGTGGGGTATGAGGGTGGCCAGGGGGATGGTATTTTTTGTCCCGGTGGCAGCATGGCGAATGGATATGCCATCAATTGCGCCAGGCATAGGCTGATGCCTGATATCAAGGTGAGATTTTTTATAATTAGGCGCAAGTAAAGTCTTCTTTCTGTGTTGATCTATCTTTTGATATTATTTGGCGCGAAAACTTCAATCGATCATTGCTATAACTTTTTACTTATTGGCGCAGTTTCGCCGGAAATTGAATACATCAACTTTCAGGATGAGGGTATCGAAAGTTTAAGATACTGTTGATTATTTATTATGAACAACGTGGATTTTTGATGAGCCATTAACAAAATATTGAATCAGTGATACTCTTCGAGACGAATATACAATTATACCCTATCTTTCAATTGAGAACTCCCTTTCAAAAAATTGGTATAGTCTCAATCTTAAAAAAAAAGAAAGAAATTAATGAGCTTGAAATTGAGAAAAATCTGAAGACAACGAAATTTTCAAGTACAGGGAGGCTTCTCTTCCCCACAGATAGAATAACAGGATTCAGCAAATCATGAGTAACATAGTATGAAATATACACTTCCCCAAAAAATTAACGCATCAGCAAAAAGTATCCAAAAGTTTGAAATTCATTTTCGTCGAAACTATTTGTCGGATTTGGACGTTTCTTTGTTTTGAATGATATGTTATCTTCTTCTGAATATTGGCGTGTAAACCGTATTCGCATAAGAACCTCTTTTTTATTTCTTTGAATACCGGGTGTAGCAATTATAGCGTGTAGAGTGTCAGAGTTACGTTATCAAGTTAGAATTGAAATTACACTTTATCATTATCTCTCATATTACTCCAGAAACACAATTTTATAGCATTACATGATTTTATTGAATTCAATTAGCATTATAAGCATGTAAGTCGCAGGCTATGGTCTGGGAAGGCATTTCTCTGACTGGTCGCATGGCTCATGTGCCTTACAGCCTTATATCGCCCGAATTGCAATAAATTATCTAGAGGAAGTCTGTACGAATCGCTACCATGATGGCATGGCCAGCTCGGAGCCCGGATTTGAATCCCATTGAGAATCTCTGGGACGTTTTTAGAATAGAATAGAATAGAATAAGAGGAACGTAACCTGAATACTTTGGAAAACGCACGGCAGAGACTGACTCAAATTTGGGACCGGGACCAAAATGGCATAAGGCCGTCTTTGCCAAGAAGTTCTTCGTGCCGCGGCGGAAATATATGTTTAAAAAATAGGTTTTCGAGTGAATATAGTTTGCACATCAATGTTCAGAAGGAGATATCCGGTTATTCAGTACAAAAAAACGTCCAAATCAAACAAGAATAGTTTTGTAACAAGATATTCCAAGATTGAATTGATTGAAAGGTATAAACAACTACGTCTCTTATGTCTGGGGTTGCCATATTTAAAAAATACGAGAGCGAGAGGCAACGGAACAACCTTCATTTTTCGAAGTCAAACACTTTGAATTGAACGTCAGAATTTTGTTATGCATTTTTTTGTCGAAAACTCAGTATGATTAAGTGATTCGAGAAAACATAGTACAGGCACTATATTCTCAAAATAGTTATTTACCTAACACGTGCGTAAAGTACTGTACTGTAAAGTACTTTTTCGCACGCGACGGCAGTTACACGAAGACGCTGGAGATATAAATACACCATATCATAGTTGAGTATTTTTGTTTTGATCAGGATCGCCTTCAAGATTCACATACTTGCTTGATCTGTATTTCATTCAATTTCGGGATCCGATTGATTAGATAACTTGTTTTTGAATAATCACGGCCAGCAATACTTTTTTGTTTCACACAACGATATTGTTTAACTTTATTTAATTACCGAGCCAAACACAGTGGAATAAGAAGAGAAATAAATAATCGCTATCATTATTATTGCAATGCTCACTAATTCAACATTTTCCACTTCTTTTTCCTATATTTTCACCACACGTAATATTTGTTGCATTGCATACATATGGCACGGCATCCACGTTTCGGGTATAGTATTGAATTCGTGCCTGTAGTATCTGATGTTGATGTCAACACAAATTGTAACAAAGTTACATTGGTGAGTTACTTCACATATTCATTTTAGACGATTCTTTCGGTTGCAGAAAAAACAGCATGTTTTATTCGGATCAAAAGTGACTTTGTTTGACTCGCAAATTTTGCTTTCACTTGTCAAACAAAATGTCACTTTTGATCCTAATGAAACAATCTACTATTTTTCTATTTTTATGAGATAAAAATGTGTTTTTCACCATATCACATCTTTTACCAAACTTTTATTGAATGTTCGGCCACATTGCAGAAATCATTGATACTTCCAGTGCTTCTGACCTTACCAAATGCAAATGGTTGGGTTTGGCAATCCACCTCTGATCAATGAGTTACAAAAATTTGAGGCAAACTATGGAGCTCAATATCTTTGAAAATATTTTTTTCACTTAAAAATGTATCCTTCCATCTCGTTATATATTTTCTTTTTTCATTATCCATTTCATTTATCTTCCTCATTTCGGAAAAACCCTGTATTTAAATGAACATTTCTTCTCAAAATTCATAGATAATTACTACAATGAACTATTTCAACGTGTATGAATTACAAAAAAATGCCACTTTCAGTATTATACTTTGTGTTTTTTTGGGGCATTTCGAATTTGTTCGCTGTACTTATTCAGAATGAGAAATTCTCAACAATGATAAAAAAAAGACTGTCTCTCGTTTGTAATGCGGAGTCATTGAATATTCTATCTTGTATTTGCATAAATGCCTGAATTATGCGAAAGTCAGCTGATGATCTAGTATCATTCCATATAGACACAAATTTCAACCTTGAACCCGTAGTGATCATAGTTTTGTCTATCAATACTTATTTTGAAGGTTCTCGGCCGTTATTCGATAGATATCCTTGGTAATGTTGTAGTTTTAACAAGAAAAATGAATAGATACTGCCTGTAGGTTAATCGATGAGGTGGTTCATTCATTATTCCAGATTTTTTGGGATTTTCTCTCCTCGTGTCTGTGAAATAAAAATATGTATATTATTTCAATATACGTGTAGTAAGGACAAATCAGATGATTTCCACCAAAATGTCACTGCGTTTTAAGAAATTTCCTATCAGAGAGCCTAAAAGAAAAACTCACTAGCTTGTCAGTGACAATTTATATTGAAAAAAGTTTGGAGAAGAGAAATAAAGGTATAAGGAAAAATATCATCTTTTCACTTAGCTTTGGACGTTTCGAGAACGTCCTTTAGGTTGTCTAAACCTAGTTCGCCCCTGAGAGTCGCATGATTGTGAAACAGGTATTTGACTACTTTGTTGCTCAACCGTTAAGATTCAATTTCAATTGTCAAGAAAACGTCAATACCCATATTCGTACTAAACTACTGATATAATTTTCACCGATGGTAAATAAAAGCAGTAAACATCATTGCTAGGAGAATCAGCAGCAACGCAGAGCGACCAAAAACCTTGCTAGGCAACTAGCACCGTTGTTAGACAATCACTAGCGATGCCAGGCAACCACTAGCGTTGTCAGGTAATCAGCAGCATTGGCGTTGGCTGCTAGGCATCTAGCAGCGTTGTTAGGCAATCAGCAGAATTGACGTTGATTGGCAACTATAGCAGCTTAGTTAGGCAACCTTTTTGCATTGCCAGGCAATCACGGCCGTGGGCCCACCATGTACTCACGACGTCGGTGTGGGGTAGCCCTGTGACTCCAGACACCACTGGTTAAAAGATTGGGGTCCCCACTTTTGTCCTTTTGTCATGGTAGCGATACGTGGAAAGGCCGCGGGTAGCTGGGCTTGCTCAGCGAAAACTGGAACTTTGGTGTACCTTGTGCCTTAGTTCGACGGAGAGGGAGCAGCCCCAAGCGATCCTACCACCAGTCATCGTAGGCAAAGCCGGGTCCTCTTCTGTAAACGAGGTAGAGGAACGCGTAGAAGTCCTCGAACGATCACTCATTCAACGGGACGAGAGGATTCTTGTCAACATAAGTAGCAATCAGGCCAAAGCCTCTCGTGACGGTGACTTTCCAAATGTGACAAGAGAAATTTTGTTGACATGAGTACCTGGGGTGATGAGGATAGCCCCATCAGGCCGTACATACGGCCTGGTGTCTCACCAATTGGGTTGGACTCCAGGGGGCAGCGGTTTCCAAAAACACCACCGGACTACGGTAGAGGAGGTGAAGAAGAATCCCACTATGGCTCAAGTGGGAGGATATCTTGCCTGCCTCGGCGGGTAAGCAGCGTTTCTGCTCGAACACTGACACTGCAGAGCCAGTACTCTTAACAGACGGCCTCACCATTGGTATAATAAAATGGTAGCAGGAGAACATGCCGTTACATAACGGAGATGGCTCTAGCGCGCTGATTTGACGTATCCAAATCCTCCATTTCTCTCTGGGGTGCTGTCGGTATAACTCGAAAGATAGGTGACCGGCAGTCATCCCTATGGGAGTCTTGTGAGAGGGGGATGGGAATTGGTCCCACCCGATTGCTACCCCGGTAATACTACAACAACTGCCAGGCAATCAACAGTATTGACGACGCTAGGCAACCAGCAGCAGCGTTGCTCGGCAATACTTAATAATACATAATCTTTTTTGCAGACCAAGGGCCTTCACGCTCTACCGCGCTTAGTCCTCTTCACCTCCGAGGAGTCCCACTACTCCGTGATGAAGCTCTCCTCCTTCATGGGCCTCGGTTCGGACAACGTCTACCCTATAAGCACAGACAGCCGCGGCAAGATAATCATTTCGCACCTAAGGGAGCAAGTGGAGAGGGCTCTAAGTGAGGGCGCCACCCCCTTCCTGGTGGTGGCCACCTGCGGCACCACTGTCATGGGGGCGTTCGACCCTCTGGAGGAAATAGCTGACGTGTGCGAGCAGTATCAGATGTGGATGCACGTGGATGCTGCTTGGGGAGGTGGTGCACTTATGTCCAAGAAGCACCGAGGACTGCTCAAGGGTATCGAGAGGTGAGTTACATTTTTTTTGGGTGCTTGAGTTTTTTCTTTGGGTATCTTCCCTAACAACACAGGGATGTCCTAGGTACGCGCAGTGGTAATCCAGTGGACATCCCGCCCGGTACATCCTTAGGTTATCCTATTTGTGTCCCTGGAATATCTGATATCCATTCACATCAGAGTCACTGAATTTCATCAAACTATTGAGTTGAATTTTTTTGAAAATGTTTGTTTTTCTTCCGGAAAATAATTGTAATGAGAATAAAGAATGAAGTCTCAGAACTTCTTGAGAAATGACCATTTTTCGCAAACAGAAATTGTACATGCCTAATGCCCCTCATTTTTAAACACTCAAGAATGATAATAATTATACCCAAATCCTAACAAAGTTGTATTTATTCAGGTTTCTGTAGTCAAGTCCTGTTCATAAATCTGTTTAGTACATAAATCTTCAGGAGGCATAATAGCCAATGAAGTAAGGTGCGTGCCTGATAAGCTAAAGGTCCCGAATTCAATCCATACTCGACCTAATTTTTTTTTCGTCGAAGGGTTGTCCCTGGGATATCCTTGGGACGTCCTAGGGATATCATTTCTTCGTACTTGGTACATCTCAGGGACGTACCAGAAGGACATCCCTTGGATGCCTTTTTTGGAGGCCAGCGGATGTCCCTGGGACATCCCTAGTATGTACGTTTTCCCGACAAAGCACATCCCTGGAATGTCCTAGTATAAAATCAGGGACGTCCCTGGGAAGTTCCTAGGATGTACTAGTGTTGTTAGGGTTGCCTGGATCCACTCCATTATCTTTGTGCATCGTACAATTTCTTCACAAGGTGCGAGTTTGATTTATACAGGATGGGGCATTAGTGCATCTGAGCTCGATTTACTCGCGTTAAATGAAACTCGATTCAAAAACGAATGTCAATGAGACAACAAGGTCCGTCATTAGAAATTATTGCCGCATATACAGGGGGCATCGGAAGAAATCTAGAGGGTCAGGATCACTTTTTTTAAATGGAATGCCCTATATCTCAGCACATTCTTTGAAGCATTCCTGTGATCTCCATCCACTCCTATAATATTGTTGACTAATTCGCGATCATTTCAAAGTTATTAATTTTTTTTGTCGAAATAATGTCATCTGCAGATCCATACCGAAAAAATCACTGTAATCACAATTATGAGGTTTGAGAGAAAATAATCAATGGGAAGATGTGTGATATTTCTGTAGAATTTTCATGCCCTGAAATTATACAGGGTGTTGTTTTTTCAATTCGGAACTTTTGGAAGTGATTTTCCTTCCCTTTATATTTTTAGACCATTTGGTGTGAAATCAAAACACGAACATCTTTTATCTCAACACCCATATAGATATTTGTAACCATTTTTGAATTATTGAACTCCGAAAATTATAGGTAGGCCATTTTCATCGATACACATTCTGATCTGTTATTAAAACATCAAAAGTCCAATTAATAATTTAGTAGACTCGTTTTTTCATTGAAAGAATTGATACCAGAATCAAAGCAAATATAGATAAACTGGTCAACATTCATACCGTCGTGCTCCAAAATATAGCCTCAATTCAAAGTGAAATAACTCACGAATTTCCTAACCAATTTTGAATCGGTTTTCACCGATGGTTAGCCTTATCTCTTGACAGTTTGTTGTGGCAATATGAAACTTCTGTAATTTCGAATAACATTGCTACAGGGTGATAATTGAATGGGTGTAAAATTGCATCGTGGTCGTCACCTTACCGTTTGAACAGATAATTTTTTAAATTTTTTTTCTCACCTTTATCCTCTTGATTGATGCTTTCTCTCGAAACATTTTCGGAATTTTCAAATTCAGAGCTTTGATAATCGTGATATGAATATTCATTCAGAATGATGCATTTTTTTGACGATTGATTGAATGTTATTGAAATTGGAATTCTTCTCCGAAGAATCAACGTTGTATGTATAGTCGTCGGATATGTGATCGTGTTCGAATACAGAAAATTCTGAAAAAGTCTATACAAAGTAATACAAGAAATACTGAATGATGGAATGGAGAATAACGTAGTCTTCAGTAGATGAAACATAATTTTCTTTGTGTTACTAGTGGAATAATGGAGTGTTACTTCGTCATGAGGTTGTCTGGTGTCTGACCTCGAAACGGTTTTGTAATTTCTTGGATCGAAGGTCATATAATGAAAGTACGCATTTTAATCGAAATGATGCATTTTCGTCAAGATGAATTATAAAATTCAAAACAATTACGATTTTAGTTCCAGAAGTATGAAATTCATATTTATTCTTGACGATGGATACACAAGATGCGATAAAAAATATGTCCAGATTGTCCCGGGATGAAGAAGGATATGTTTAAACGTGATGAAAATCGCTATGTTCCGAAAAAGAAATATAGTGTCGGTCATAGAACTCAAGCAATCGAGCTCCGACGCACTAATGCCCCACCTTGTATAGCTCTGGTTTGCAGTTTGATTACCCAAAAGGTTGAAACCTTGTTATCACACAGTATGTATGCATAACCTGCAGCTTACCTCATCGTTGTACAATCCCATTTTGTTCAGGTATTCGGTGACGAGTGTGACGGTCCTTTGATATACCCTGTTTTCTGGATAGTCTCCAAAGAGTTTTTCAAGAATCTCTTCTCGTTCACACCTTTGGCAGGATCTCGACCGTTTTCTGACCCCCTCCTTCCTAATTTCTAGCTATCCACTGATTTTTCAGCATTCAGCTCAGTTGTTCTATTCGAGTTATATGGGGTGACATTCGTTAGGGTCTTGAGCCACAAGAATAATCAAAGGGTTTGCTCCAGGAGGTTAATCAAGGAATGCCCCAAAGTATTACTTAAAGAAAATAACAAGTGAGGGGTTCAATAGTTCAAAGTTGCTGATGGAAGTGGATATAAGGGTTGATTAGGCAAGGGATCTGGAATAATACCTATATTTCATTCGGAAATAATTCAGTGCGAATAGTGAAAAGTATCACCTAACAAGTGCTGGAAACTATACGATTTCTCTTTGTATTTCCGCGATTATTAAAAGTGTCCATAAAACAAGTGGATAATCATAAAAATGTAGAAGTAGAGTATTTAATTGACAGTTAACCACACATTCTAGCCGTGGTAATGTTAATAATTCCGGTTTTGGCATTCCATAACTTGTTCATTAAGTTTTGTAACAGAAAGTATAGTACCGTAACATTGAATATGGAAGAATATTTTTTCTCTAATTCAAGTCTAAGGTGGAGACAATATCCGCTATGAATATTTACTGGTTGTGTTCAGAATTACATAAACAGTGTATTCCATGAAGAATCGTTGATTGTTATCAATAATTACCTACCTCTGAATTTAGTCTACCTATTTCACACCAGATGAACATAAGACGAACGATTGATGAGGCGAGGGAAGCAGTTCTTCCTTTCCATCACGAAATTTATCAAATTATTAGACATAATGAGGCAATTCAGTCATGATTTGTTGATTTCAAGCAGTAGACCTTGTGTCTTTATTGATGACAATCATTATTTACTCTATAGTATTGTCAATATTTTGCAGGTAATCTATTCAGTGGGAACGGGTTCATTGAATAAAAAAAAGCTGATCAATTTAGAAACGTCTGTGAAATTGCGGCATATGTTGATATGAATGAATCTAATTTATTGATAGTATAATAGTGATATCTGATTTTACATTATAAAGTACTATATTTTAAAGAAAAAAACTGTTTTAATATTCAGAAATGATGTCTTTGAAGTTGTTTAATGTGGAAGAATTGTATTTATTAATTCTGGAATAGCTAATGCTGTGAGCAACATTTTCTGCAAAAGTTTTTAAATTTGAATCTATGATGGGACCCGCCTTTTTGTTCTGAATGTTCAGTATCTCTTATACATTATCACCAATAATGAAGTGCGCATCATTTCAAGAATTTTTCATTAGTTGAGTTGATTGAAAAGTTTTTACTCGAAAATTACTTTCAGAAGAATACCTTATCAATTGATTTGCGATGAGTGCGATACCTAACCTCACAAAATTAATATGTTTTTTTATAATCGCGAAGACTAGTGTAAAATAAATCATACATTAGATTCAATAGAAAACATCATGTGAATAATACCGATTATTACTTTCACATTATAACCATTCAACATGTAAAATGATTATTGAATCATTCAGGAATACGAGAATATGTATATTTTGTTTCCTTCTTGATAACATATTTGCGTCATAACAACGTCAGTAAGTCATATTTTCAAAATCAGTTGGTTTGGTAATGAGACTAATGAGAGTATACAGGTCTTCCTGAAATAATTCCTAAATCAATATCACATATTATGTGGTTAGAAATATTGCTGAGAAGTTTTAGTCCAGTCGGTAATTACTTTTGACATGGAGGCGGTAGTGGAAAATTTTAAGCAGCCAAAAAACCTCGATATTTTCGGACTTTCTTCAGTTTTCCCCTTATAACTCGGAAACGGACAATTCTACGTGAAAAGCCACGATATACTAAATTAAAGAAGACACAATTCTGCGTCAGGAATTGGTACCGTGCATGGAAAAGTTTTCACGGGCGATCAAGGCATGGTGATTTTTTCCAATTTTGGTAGAAACTAACATAACCTCATATTCGTAGTGCTGTACGAAGCTTTACAACATCACTCCATCAATCGGAGAGCTTAGAAAGCACAAAAAATCCAAATTCGTAAAATTGTTGGTACTGTTTTCCAAAAATTAATAGTTTTTTATTAATATCAGTAATACCACTTCAGATATTCTGATGAAATTTGGCATACATGTTTGATGTATCAAGAGGCTCCAGTTGAATTTCACATACCTATTTTGGCAGACATTGATGGTACGACACTGATTAATCTCGGAATTGAAATTATTCCAGAAATTCCCAATCATTTCTAAGCAAATTTGATCACCACAATTTTTTCAATCTGTTGCACGGTTTTCGCTCAAAAAAATAGAAAGCTTTTCACTACATGATTAAA